GGAAGTGAAATACCTTAAGGAAATTTTGTAATGGGACAGGAGGGTAGTAGAGGGATATTTTATATAAAGGTGATCTCAATGGATACATAATGGAGATCAATAAATGTATGATAAAAACAATACAATTTATGAGTATGATAGTTATCCAAGTTGATACATTTAATGGCACCAAGAGATAATATATCAAATCCAGGATAAAGAGAGTGGACAAATGTCACAAATCAAATAGAGTTCATAACTTGAGCAGTTAGAGGAAAATGTATTTTTGTGTATAAAGTAGGGAAAAGAGATTACCTCCACTCATAGCAGTAGAGTATGCACGGTTGATTAAAGAAGTATGCTTTTAAAGTGACATCTCAAAATTACCGGGAAATGTTTATGTGAAACATTAAGGTTTGAGCAATATTAAGGAGGTGTTACTCTTATCCACATTATTTTGTTAGTAATAATAAGGTAGGATGACAAATGTATAATATCATTATGTTCATAGATGGGTGAAAAGTGGATTATATATATTTCAGGGAATTATTATAACAAAAAATTTTGTTAGTGTTGAAAAATTAAACTTTTATTTTTTGATAAAATTATTTGAATACAACAAAGAGTTTAGATAAGCTCTTTAATTAGCATACCCACATAGCCAAATTAGCATACCCATATAGCCTAATTAATGAAATAAAATTATAAAAGCTCTAATGAGTGGACACTTGACTTGGACCACCCCAAATATCAAAATGTACAATATTAATGTGGCGCCCTAGAATTTAATTTGAAAAAATTATTCTTTTATCTTTTAATAAACAATATCATAGTTATTTAACTTTTTTTATCATAAATAAACAACAAAAATAATTCTAAAATTCAAAAAATCTATATATACATTTGTATTCATTTTCTCAAAAATCATAGACACTACTCAGGATCTATACAATCATATCACACCTACTATCACGAGTACAAAAGAATAACTAAAATAAAAAGAACTTGAATCTGAAGGAATTCTGATTAGTCTCATACTCATGTTTTCTTGTCCTGACTTGAAATCATTTAACTACATATAATAAACAAAAAAAAAAAACTCAACAATTAACCAAATCCTGGAACTGAACTGAACATAAGACAAATGAGCTATATGCATGTCAATAATCAAATCATAATAGTAATATTGCTCAAACATAAGACAAATGATCATAAATTTGTGCATAAATAGTAAAAATCACATGTAGTAGCAATAGAATCTATAAATAGTAAAATAGTATGGTACGAAAGCTAGTAAATCAGTATGGGTGTCAAATCGATAAAATAATCATTATATTAGTACTATCAATTCGTAAAAAAATTGTATAAAGTAGTAAAATCAAAACATCGATAAAGATTATTAAAAGTATATCAATGTAGTTAAATCATATAACTTTATATACATGTTATTAAATTATTCTATATTAATATCAAATCAGTATCTTAATCATATGCTCAATATGTTACACTAAACAAGCAAGAAGTTATGGCTTAATTGGTGTTTTTTTCCTTAATTAGTAATCAATAGTTGGTAATTATTGGTTCAGTAAACAGAGTCGTTACGCTTTGACTTTCAGAACAATAATCATCTCCTTTTAACTCCCAATTAGTGTATTATGTGAAGCAGTCAATGATAACAACAAATCACATATTTAAAGAAAAGTCTGTCGGCCCACAATCATGTACAAGTCAATTAGTCTCCAGCCAATGCCAGTGAATAACCAGTCTTTACTTGTTTTTCTCCACACATTATTATCACAATACTATAATAGTAATATAACGACCAACTATTTCTTAATCACATATCCACGCTCATTTCAATGCATTGTAATAAATAAAACATAATTAGACTGAATTAAGAAAGTGCCAAAATATCCTAATGGTAGACAACAAAAAATTCTACTGACCAAAAATTCATATTTTAAAAAAATTTAACAAATTACTAGAGATCGTATATAACAACATTTTGAAGCTTTAATTAAACTATAACAATATTTTTTAGTGTCAAAATAAATTTTGATTTATTTTAATATAACAACATTTTTGGGTTTATAACAACATTTTTTGGTAACATAAATACAAATTTGATTAAAAAATACAAAAAACACAAAATTATTGAAATAAAAAATATAATAAAAGTTCTTTACAGCGAGACGAACAAATCTACCAACTAGACGACTGATGAAAATTGCTCCGCGATCTCCTTATCCTAGATTTATTTTCTCAAATTTTCTCTTATTTCCCTAAATTCTCTCTGTTGGCCGAAATGAAAGAAAGGAAAAGCTCTTGTAAATTGATGTGTGAGAGATGATTATGTAAATTCATGGTACCACTATTTGAAGAGGGTTTTATTTTTGAGAGAGGAGCACAAGTAGTAATCAATGAGTTCAAGGAAACGAAGAGTACAATGATGAGTCAATTAATCATAAGATTGAAGGGCTGTTTTTAGATGAGTTTGCAAAGGAGCAAGCGCAAGATGAGGGCATTTAACAGATGCATGTGCGATTAGCCGTGCATGTATGAAAACTTGTGTAAGGGTGCACACGGGCACGAAGGTTTTAGGGCATGCGTGGGTGGCCGCAGGAGTAGGCTTATATATGAAGTAGTGATGCCAGAGGCATGCGAATGAAGCACATGTGTATGACATGCAAGTACATGTGAGTTCGCTCTTAAGCATTGTACATGAGCTCAATGGGATGGGGAGAGGGGGTGGGGGTGAGGGTGAGGGTAGGGGCATGTGGAGGCATGTGGAGGATGATGGCTAAGCTTTAGGTGCACTCTTATTACATGTTAATGTAATTGAAAATAACTTGATATTTTCACCATATTTCTAGTGTTTTTATATAGGCAAATACAATATGTTGAATTGAAAAAAATATATTATGGAGACTATCTTCAATTAAGAAAACATATTATGAAACAATGTTAAGAATTGTTAATAATTACTTATACTTTTGTAAAATCTCTTCTATAACAATTAAGTTTTTATGCATGTATGCTTGCAAGCCTACAACAAAATTTTTAGTTTGTATGTTTTTTTCATGCATATTTGGCTCGTTGTCTCTTTTTATGTTTTATGTGAAGGTGCGCGCAGCTGTACATCTATTCTATTTATGTATGTGTGCTTGTGTGTGAGGGACTAGGCATGCATATGCCGACGTAATTTTCAGTCAACAATTGTGTGGGTGCATTCATCAACTTTTGGTTTCATTGTGTGCGTGGGAGTGCATATTCTACACATTACATATCCCTTCCTATTTTTTTAATACTTCTCTTTTTTAATTTTTTTAGTTAGTGGTATCAATTTGGGTTGATAAGTTGGATTTGATTTTGATTGGAAGCTGACCCAACCATAATCGGCATAACCTGAACCTGACCCGTTTATTATGGGTTAAAATATTTATCATGAACCTAGGTCGACCCGAACCCGATAATCATAATCCATCTTGTCTAGCAGATTTATTAAATGGATCATGTCATTTTTATATGCAACACGATCCAATTAACTCAAATATGACTCGTTTAACTGAATAAAGCCTAAAATAGGAGTTCTAATTTTTTTTTGAATTTCAAAAATAACTTAACTAATTTGAAGCGGAAGCTGGTGATTAAAACACAATTGCAACAGCGGTGATGAAAATTTAAATCACACAATGAAGTACTAAAATTAGATTCTCACCAAGCAGTTATAGCAATTTTAAAATGCAACAAATAAAATGCGGTAAATGGAAAAAGTATACCAGAAGATTTATTGTAGTTCGGTCACTTGACCTACGTCCACTCCACAATAAGGCGGAAAAGCCTTTACACAAACTCACTTTCACCTTCCCCGGTGTGGTGGAGTGCCAGATGCTATGTCGCCCTCCCGGTGATGGCAGCGGACCTTCTAGTTTTTTTCCCTCTTGAGAAGACAGAGGACCATTGCGGACGTTGACCTTCAAGGCTCTCCCCATAGAGAGCTCCAACAAGATTTACCCGGGCCACAGGAGGAGCAAGCGTGCAGTAGGCTTGGAGCAACCGTGTGCTTTTTCCATTTACAATATTTTATTTTTTGCATTTTACAATTGCTATAATTGCTTGGTGAGAATCTAATTTCAGTACTTTGTTGTGTGATTTAAAATTTCATCACCGTTGTTGCAATTGTGTTTTAATCACTAGCTCCCGCTTCAAATTAGTTAAGTTATTTTTGAAAAAAAAAAAAAAAAAGAACTCCTGATTAAGCTTTGTTCTTTATTTCGAAAAATATCAATTCACCCCCCTCTTGGCGCATCTCGCATTTTCAGCTCTTAGTTGTTTGCATGTGAGCAATGTGACATTTCCTTGATTGCTTTCTACTATATGAAAATTTTATACCATCCTTCCATCTCTTATTAAAAGTATATTTTTTTGGGTTGAACTATGTGGGATCTGAATGTTTACAGCGGAAGAGCCTTCATCAGCTTTCTCTAACCCCACCACCCTCTAAAGAAGTGAAAGACCACTTGGGGCACGCATACACTGGCATATACTCTCGCCCACTAGCATGTGCACACCCGCCTGCACACACATTCATGCACCCACTCCCACACCGAATAAACCCTATACACCCCCATGTTTGTATTAGCTACTTTTAAAGGTTTAAAATATTTTGTTCGTCATATTTTTTTTCTGCTGCTGTCTTTCTTTTCCATCTAATTCATACTTTTCTGGCATGTAACTTTTGCAGACCTTATGGTGCCTTTATTGTCATGCAACTTCTTGGAACAGTTTTCCTTCATGTATATTCTTAAATTGTTTCTATAGTTGGAGGACCTAGTGATCCTCTTATTTTGAAATGATAACAAAGGATACGACTTAAAGTTTTCTAATATACTTTACGTTAATCTTGTTATTGGTGTATTAATAGGTTACATGAATTTGGATTTCTTTGTAAAAGTTGTTATGTTGGAAGATCCATTTTCTTTTTTGCTTGATTTTCTAACCCTTTTTGTACTTGACTGAAGCTCGTCTTTGATGAACTCTTGGAGCGTCAGAAAGAAAAAGATGAGAAAGAAGCCAAAAAGCGCCAACGACTTGTAGATAATTTTTCCGACCTGCTTTATTCAATCAAGGTGTGATTTTAATATTGTTCTGTTATTTCACCTGCATGAATTTGGAGAAGCATGTTAACTTAGTTGTTTGAATTCTTGTTCTCTAATTTTAGGATATAAATGCATCTTCAAAATGGGAGGAATCTAGGTCATTTTTTGAAGACAGTCAAGAATATAGGTATCTTGTCCAGAACTTATCCTGATGTATTGGATTATTGTCTCCATGGTATTCATTGTAGAAGCATTGTTATAAATTTTGTTGGGGCTCAGGCTGTTTTTTCTTAATCAACTCCTGACCAAGCGGTGACTTATGGTTCCTAGCCTTTTCATATTAATCCTTTCCCGTCATCTTGGCGCTTTTGTTGCTTTCTAATTTGCCTATTAGGAGCATGTCGGATTTTACTTAATAATTATTGTACAAGCTGCACAAGGTTTGTATTATTTTGACTTTATCTTTCAAATGCTTGCAGATCAATTGGAGAAGAGAGCTCTGCAAGGGAGATTTTTGAGGATTATGTTTCTCTTTTGCAAGAAAAGGCAAAAGAAAAGGAGCGCAAAAGAGATGAAGAGAAGGTAGTCTAGTCAATGCAGTTTTTTCAGATTTTGGCTCTTCTCAGTTTTATCTTGCTGATGTGATACGATGCAAGAATTGCTTGTTAGAAATTAATAATTGTGAACTTGCGTTGCTAATTTAAAAAAAATGCATTCCAAGATAGATCGTAAGAAATTTCCATGGAAGAACTAAGCAATGTCAATCAATTACATTTAGAAGCGACATGAAACAAACAAATTAATCCAATAAATAAGTAATAAAGCAAATGGCTCTTAACTTTTCCAAGGCTTAAAATATAGATCCTTCACCTCGAAGTCCCTCACTTTCACTCTTGGATTCACTCAGTTAGCGGAAGAGGATGGCGCACAAACTCAACGATGCCACTATTAAACAAGTAATGCCGAGGGGGCTAGCCGCCGGGGATGAAGTCAGATTTGGAGAAGGTGTTCGGCCGTTCATGATCCACTCGTCCGCCGGAAGTTGCTCGTCGAGGATGTCCACAAGGTGGGGAAGAATCCGATTCAAGTAATCCTCAACGATGTGGTCAAAGCCGAATCCAACGTCAAAGAATGGCAATCGGATGACGCCAATGTCGCCTTGATGATCGTATGCAATGTCGTAATCACGCTCCGGATCGGCCATTCATGACTATGAGAAGTTCTTGCGGTGTGGATGAATTTGGCGGTAGAAGAGTCTTTTCTTGGTGGAGCTTGGCCAAACAAAGAGGGGAGGGAGTGGGCTCAGGTAGAGGGAGAGAAGAGTAGGGAGAGGGGCGGCTAGATCCACTTAGGTTTGAGGGATTTAGGAAAAAAACTGAAGTTAATTTCAGTTTTAAGAAAATTGGAGGGAGATTAAATGAATTTGAAATTTGAATACCAAGTGGGGATGGGAAATTAAGGGGGCAATTAAGCTTTGAACCCCCCCTAGGGGCCGGCGGCTTAATTAGAGGGAGAGGGATTAGGGAAAGAGAATAAAAACTGAAATTAATTTCAGCTCAAGTGAAAGTGGTGGGAGAATATTTGAAATTAAATTTGAATTTCAAATAAGAGGGAGGATTAATTGAGCATTCAATGGGGAAGCCCAATAAGGGGCCGACGGCATCAAGAATGAGGGAGGGGATTGAGGAGGGGGTAAGGGAGTTTCCAAATAGGTGGTGAGTATTAGGAAAGAAAAACTAATAACTCTAATTTAATTTGAAATTGGATTCATGAAAGAAACTTTCCTAATTTTGGATTCCCAATATGGAAAGAATTTGAAATTCGAAATTTGAATTTCAAGTATGATGGATTGGTGGAGAGAGGGCCGACGGGTGGATGGTTGGGGGCCGGCGGCTTGGCCGTACCAAGAAGGCCGGCGGCTTGGCCGTACCAAGAAGGCCGGCGGCAAGGTGCGGGTCTTGGGTAACCAAGGCGGTTTGATAGGTGAGGATTTTCTTTATGGAGGAGAAGAGGGAGAGAGTGGTAGGGGGAGAGGAAATCTAGAACTCACCAAGAGATCCACGATCTACCTCACCAAGAACTCACAAAGAGATCTTTGATAAACTTTAACGAACTCACAAAGAGAACAACAATGAGAGAATTTTTTCCACTAACTCTTAAAATACATGAGGTCTTCTTTAAATAAGCCGAAATAGAAACAAAGCTACATGACACAAATGCCCTTTGGGCTACACAAGCGACTCAATACCCACAGCGGTAAACTAGGAAAATAAAATGCAATAATAAATAAAATATAACATAAATCAGAAATAAATGCTCTGGATCGTAGCCGTCGATCTGCGTCTTCGACGATGGTACATGTGTCGAAATCTGATGTTCTCATCACTTGCTCTCTATAAAACATAAAATTTCTTAAACCTTTATATGGATCACAACTGGGGAAGAGAATTTCATTATCTTTTGAAATTGGCTTGTTTCTTTGGAAGTGGGATAACTTCATAGGTCAGTAAACTAGTCTTTGAGCAATGGGGGATTGGGCTTTCTTACCTTTGGTATATATAGGATCTCTTTGAGGTCGTTGTAGCTGATTCTGTAAGCAGCTATAGAATTATTGTGGTTACAACAATTTTTTTTTAAACTTGTTGCTAGTATTTTAATTTTTATTTTGAAAAAAATCGGGCAATAACTTTTGTATCTACTACCTTTTAGTTGATCTGACTGTAAAAAGTTGCTTCTCATAATAACACTATATGAAAAGTGACAAGAAAATTGTAGTTAAACATAACTATGCTAGCTTTGTAAAAATCAAAGCAGTGAAAAAGCTTCCTTAAATGTGCCCTTAATATCATGTAAGTTGAACTTCTTGATCTCCTGACTAAATCAGCTAATAATATAGTGATGTAAGGGGTGCTTTAAATTCTTGCTGGATTGAACTTTAATGCGAGATTGCTTTATTTTGGGAAAAAAAGTGTTGTGATAAAAGAGTAGATTGAATTGATTTAATCACGATTTTATCACATTCCAAAAAGATCTTTGTGAGTCTTTCCATTTATATATTAACTCCATTCTTCCTCTATGTATCACGTATTGATAGACGCATATGAATAGTTATATGTCCTCCTTATATTACAATATGTTTTCACCTGTTATTGGAGGCATGTTGTAGCTCATGTTGTAATGAGCTAATATATTGATTATTCTCTTGGAGGGAAGAGGCGAACATGGTTTTATGGTATTATTTTTGTCCTATACTATAAATGTGTTCAATTTATGGTACTATTTTTGTCCTATACTATAAATGTGTTCAATTTAATCCCTTGAGTTTTCAAATATGATCCAAATATTCGATTTGTTGAATTCTTTGAATTAGATTTGAGCAGCGAAGAGATTATTTTAGACTAAATTTGAGTAGTCAATGGGATAAATTGGGTACATTTAATAGTCTGGAATTAAAGTGGCCCCTCAAATAATCCTGGGATCCTTTTGACTTTTGTTTTGTTAGCAACAAGGAAAGTGAGGGTGGAGGATATGAAGTTGCTTACCGGGCTTGAAACGTGGGGAAGGTGGATTGTTGGCTTGTTGGGCAAAAATTACATCTTTTTTGTAGCATACTTATTCTTTACTCTTGTTAACTGTTTCCCCAAGAAAAATTTTGAAATTTTTTTCTAGCTTTATTTCAAGTAGCCAATTTTTATTCATTTTTTGAAGTAAACCTAACTAGCTGTATGTGGTTGACATGAGTATCTAACTGGAGTTTATAAAACGCAGAATGGGTACTAAATATGCATTTGTCCATGCATGTAGTATATGGATTACGTTTATAATTTTGAATAAACTTTGGATTTCCTACGTAAAATTTGAAATATAGAAATGATTTGTTAAAACCTATAATTTACATGTCAAAATGAGATATTTTAAGGAGTCTTTTGCATGAATAGGGGTGCCACACATTGAATTCTTGTAGTATATGGCATTTTCCGCACGCTTCAAACAAATATGGAAAATAATTTTTTTTAATTAATTCATCCGGATTTGTATTATACAAGTATAACAGACAGACAATATGGCTGACATCTAACTAAACACATAATCTAATCATTTAAGCACATTAGATGGGAAACCATGTTTTGTAAGCTTTAAGCTCATTCCACTAATTATTGCACCTATGTTGACGAGCTTTTCTTGTTCCCATGCTATTGAAGACCTTGGTTGCATTTGCACCTGCCGCACATCCTAATGATCTTAGTAATTTTTTTGTCTGTAAGATTCAATTTGTTTGAAATCTTTTGGTTTGAAATTCTGGTACATACAGCACAACTAACATATCGATATTACAAGTTCAACTCTTGAGATTTTGTAATATTCAGGTGAATTAATGCATCCCATCTTATCTTGTTCGTAGGTTAAAAAAGAGAGGGAAAGAGAAGAGAAGGAAAAAAGGAGGGAGAAAGAAAGAAAGGAAAAAGAGAGAGAACGTGAAAAGGACAAATTGAAGGAACGGTCAAAAAGGGATGATGTAGATAGTGAAAATGTTGATGCCTCCAATAACCATGGAATGAAGGATAGGAAGCGTGAAAAAGACAAGGATAGGAAGCATAGAAAACATCATCACAATGCGGGAGATGATATAAGCTCTGAGAAAGATGAGAAAGAAGAGTCCAAGAAGTCAAGAAGGCATAGTAGTGAGAAGAAAAAATCTAGAAAGGTGATAAATATCTTGAATATATCTGGTCTCTGTTGATTTTCTCTTATATCGCTCAGAAGAATCTGGAAATTTATCTTCATCTATTGCAGCATGGATACGGCACTGATTCCGACAGTGAAAACCGGCACAAGAGACATAAGAAAGATAGAGATGGATCCCGCAGAAATGGTGCCTATGAGGAGCTTGAAGATGGTGAGCTTGGAGAGGATGGAGAAATTCGCTAGGTTCACCTTACAGACTTCATCATTTAATTATATTTGGTATTGTCTTTAATGTATAGACTTATAGCTTAAAGGCCTTTCTAGTTATTGCAGACAGTATTTACCCTAGGCAGCTTCTCTCTTTGATTGAGCTTCGATCTTTTGTACTGTTTTTTTTGAACCTCTTTCACTTGTTTTTTTTTTTTTTTTTTTTGTTTCCATGTCATTCTCATTTATTCTGAGGATATCATTTATTATGATGTCTCCATTTGGTGAATAAGCATTAGTGTTTGTTTGCCTTTTTTTCTCTATTTGGTGAATAAGCATTAGTGTTTGTTTGCTTTTTTTTTTTTGCATATAACTAGTGTAAATTCATTAATGATTAATGTCTGGGCTTAGATGCTATTTTGGAATTTCTTATTTTACTGTTTTCGTTGTGTTAGATTTAATGAGGCATTTTTTCAGTTTTTAGCAGAAGTTTCTTAAACTTATCAGTTGATATTGCTTGATAATTACGTTGGAAGAAACCATCATGGCATCAGGTGAGGTGAATCTGAATGAGTTCAGGCGTGGTTTGTAAATTATAGTTTGTTCTTACTTTATTATTTTTATTTTTCCTTGTAATACTGATTTTAAATTTTAAAACCTTTTATTGAATATGGAATAAATTTAAGATTTCTTTTTGAACTCTTCCTTTGCCTCTTCATATAAAATATTTTCTTATCTTGCCCTAGCATCACAAATTGCCTAGTTATATTTATAATGGAATACATGATTGTAAAGTAATATTTAATTTATAATTGGTTTCCAGGTCTATATTAATTGCTTTCAGTTAATTAATGGTGTTAATTTTGTAGAACCAGTATCTAGTGACTTCATCCGACTTGTCCCAACTATTTGGTGTCGTATTTACGAATTCTCATTCTTCATTTGCCTTATTAAGTACTGCATGGGTGTTGAACTTATGATGCGGACATCCAACCGTCCATGTCTATCCGAGGAGCTGAAGATCAACGGCTGTCATCGTCCCACGTTATCTTATATTTTATTTGTAATTTTTAAAATTTTATTATAAATTTTTCGTTTTTACCCTCACTTAAGAGGGTCGTCCTATGTAAGCTATAGGGGCATATGTGTATTGTTTTAGTTTCTTAGGCCTATATATAGAGGTCCTTTCTTATGTAATGGGATGATGAATTATTGAAGGAAAAGTTTATTTTACTTGTGTGATCTCTTAGTGAGTTCATGAGAGGAGAAAGATCTCTTTGTGAGTTTCGAGATTCCCAAGATCTCTTAGTGAGTTCTTGAGGAGGAAGTGATCTCTTTGTGAGTTCCGAGATTCCCAAGATCTCTCTCTTAGTGAGTTCTTTAGGAGGAAGTGATCTTTTTGTGAGTTTTGAGTTTCCCAAGATCTCTTTGTGAGTTCTTGAGGAGAAAACACTTGAGGTTTGTAGCTCCCTAGATTTTTCAAAAAAATTCTCTTATTTCTCCTGGCATTTGTTTTCCACTTCCCCATCTCCTTACACCTGCCGGCACCCAAACTTCCCCACCCGCCGTCCCCTAGGCACCACGACAATCACTGGCCCCTTTCCGTCCATAGCTCCCAAAATCTGAATTCAATTCCATCATAAAATCTTTCCTAATTTAGCCCATCAATTTAGGAGGATATTTAAAATTCAAAGATTTGAATTTAAATCCTCTCTTAAATGATCCCCCTCTAATTTAGGAGAGGTTCTCAATCAACATAAATCTAAAATTAATTTTCAGATTTATGTCATCAATCACCTTAATTGCTTGGGCTCACCTCCTAAATGCCTAACCCCTTTTTCTCTCCTTTGTCATTAAATGCTCCCAATTAAGACTCCTTAATCACCTCCCTCTTGCCCCCATTCCATTATGATGATTTCAATTATCATAACTCCCTTCCTAAATTAACTCCAAGAGAAAAGGAAAGTAATTACCTCAATATGAAATTTGAAATTCAAATTTCAAAAACCTTCCTTATTTGCAAATCTTAATTAGGAAAGTGCATAAATTCAAGTCTATTTGAAATTCAAATTAAATTGGATTTCATGATAGCTTTTCTAATTCCCATGAGTTATTTTGGAAGCTCTTAAATCCCTCCACAAAATCCTCCTCCCTCTCTTAATGCCGCCGGCCCCATGATTGGGCTCCACCTTGGATTTCCCTCTTAAGCCCAACTCCCATTTGAATTTGAAATCAAATTCAAATTCTCTCTCTCTCCACTCTCCACCTAAGCATCAATTAATCCCTCCTTCCTGCCTTGGACTCGCCGCCCGTTTCCCCTATCTCTTCCCTTCCTCCACGGAGCATCCATTTGTCAAAAGGTCTAGTTTTTCCCTGCAATCTCAGAATTCCAGTCAAGGAAAATCTTGATTCCGGCCACCTAAAATCTCCAAACTGTGGGCTGCTCTCTCACAACCTGCTGTCCAATTGTTTAGGCCCAACCCTTGCTGTCCTGAGGAGTTTCCAAGGTCAAAAACTGCTGTCCAAGAAAACTGGACTACTGTTCGCTGATTTCTGCAGGCTTCCCAACACCGTATCTTTCATCCGAAAGACTCCAACTGCTGTCCACTTCTTCCCCAACACCAAAGTGACTACGCTGGAGCTCCGTATTTGTCTTTCCCTTTGGAATATTAAGCGTGCAAATTTCCTTTAAGCAACTCATCCATGCAATTATGTTTCACATCAACTTATTTTGTGCATTTATTTTGGGTAAAGTTTCTATTCAATTTTTTTTTTAAATTTAATCCTTTTATTCTTAATTCGTTAATTTTTTTTTAATTCATCATCGTATTTTCAAAATTCATCTTCTGCTTTTTTGTATATTTCGTCTAATCCTTTTATTCCCAATTCATTAAATTTAATTTTTTAAGTCATCTTTGTATTTTCTCAATTCATCTTTCGCACTTCTGTACATTTCCATAAAAATTAAGTGTATTTTCCTTCTACTGATCTTTAGTAGATCGCCTCTATAATAATCATTTCTATCCTTCATCATATTATCTTTTACATTCAGGTTAACATTTTTCATTTCTCGCAAATTCAACCTGGATATCAATGGATTTCTTTCTAGCACTTGAATTCATACAATATATGATTGGCGTAGTTATGGTTATATTTAATTTATCTATAAGTTTTCATGGTATTTACTTCACATAGGTCTCCTGTTGCAATTTTCTAATTAGCCATCTAATCTTATCTTTAGAACTTGTATTTTTATTTATATCAACATTCTTCTATATGATATATCCAAAAATGTAATATAAAGCACATTTAGTTGTCACTTTGTCATTTAATATTGCATATAATATTTTAGATCATTGTTGAATTTATTTTATGCCCTTCTAGAATCAGTACAAAAGTTAATATTGATCCATGAATTAAGTCTATGTTGATGGTCACTCCACAACTAATTCTAATACTAGTCAGTACTGCTTGTTTTTTTTTTTTTGACACGCTTTAGTTTTCTTTTATGCACAACAAATCAATTATTATAGTGTTTGATCATATAACCTATTATAATTAGGAATATTTGTCTGAAGATCTTTTTTTCTACTGTATTCTTTTTTCATTAATTGCATCAAGCAAAAAATCTCATTCATAGTGGTGGATTTTTTTTCTTGTTGACAAGACTAGAGAGGGAGTTGAAGGTAAACTTGAATTATGGAGTTCAACCTTAGAGTCTAAAGGTTTTCGCTTGAGTAGATCTAAAACAAAATATATGGAGTGTAATTTTAGTAGTAATAGACCTAGTGAGGGGATTGTGACTTTGGGCGATCAAGTCATTAATAAGAGTACACGTTTTAGATATCTTGGATCTATTGTTCAGAGTGATGGTGAAATAGATAGGGGATATTATCAGCAGAATTCAAGTTGGATGGTTGAAGTGGAGGAATGCATCGGGCTTGTTATGTGATAGAAATGTACCCCTCAAACTTAAGAGAAAATTCTATAAGATGGTAATGAGGCCTGCAATGCTTTATGGTGCCGAATGTTGGCCTTTAAAAGAGAAGCATAATACTAAGTTAAGTGTGGCAGAGATGAGGATGCTCAGGTGGATGAGTGGCTTTACCCTTAGAGATAGGATACGAAATGAGCATATACGTGAAAAGGTTGGAGTAGCTCCAGTAGAAGATAAGATTAGAGAAAGTCGCCTTAGATGGTTTGGTCACATAAAACGGCGGCCTTGCGATGACCCGGTTAGGAGAGTAGAGGTATTAGATTTGACTTATGTTAAGAAAGGTAGGAGTAGACCTAAAAAGACTTGGTTAGAAAATATTAGGAATGACCTTTCTTTATTAGATTTAAACGAGAATTTGACTTTTAATAGGACACAATGGAGAAAAAGGATTCATGTAGCCGACCCCACGTAGTGGGATAAAGGCTTGATGTTGTTGTTGTTGTTTTGTATAGTGGTGGATTTTTTTGGTGTTACTCTAAATTATATCACTATTTTTTCTATCGTTCATTTAAGTCCATGTTTCATCATGCTTCATATTTTGACTCGGAGGTTTAATTGTCTTATAATTATCATAACTGTGAACATTTGTTTTGTTTTTTAGTGTTGTTGTTTAAATACTATTTTTCCTAATAATTTGATTTCAATATCTATTAAAAAGGTTTGTTAATCAAATAACTCTAAGATTACTCAACTCTTCTTTTTCTGTCATCAATTTGTTGACTTCAAATGCATTGGATTGGTATTTAATTTCAAGTTGTTTTGGTTTCATGTATTATCGTGACTTTGGTACCAAAATAATTGAATTATTTAAGATATATAATTTATGTGGACAAGATGTATGAAAAATATAGAAGAGCCCTTGTGGAGTTCTAAAATTGTTGATATTAATTCTGGAAACAACATTATTGTTTTTTCAGCATGTTTCATTTAGGGTCATCTGAATCTCCTTAGTATAGGAGAAGATTTTTTTGGACATGAATTAGATTTGAATGTTCTATAAGATAAAGTTGAGGATGCATTTTTTTTTTTTAAGTTATAAAGAAAGAGAAATATCTCATATATCTATTTTTATATTGGGCTCAATGCTAGTCGTAGATTTTTAATAAAAGTCATTCAAGGGATTAAACTTTTGATAAAGAGCCAAATGAATGCATGTTTGATTTTCTAAGATGAGGAATGCTGTGTGAAGTCGGCATATCGCGTATGACCTCATGGTTGAGTGATGAGAGATGAACGACTAAGTCAATACCCAATGGTTAAATTTGAGGATACATTTGATTATGATTATTGATCTTATAAGGGTTATGCAAATTTTAGGCATGTATCCACAATCTTACAATTCTACAGTTTATTCAGACCTACCTTAATTATATATTTATTAAATGAACGACGTCATGAAATCATTTAACATGATTTTCCAACCTCGTTTCTTTCTAAAGCTACACCAACTCTGATATGCTAGAGCTTGATCAAGAGACTCTGCTAGAGATTGTTATTAAACTTGAAAGATCTCCAATCACTATTGTTGCTTAACATATGGAGATTGCATGTTGATACATGTTAGACACTGCATACCTCTTTGAGGAGTGGTGTTGGTACATCATAGCTCCATAATCATGGTCAGTGAACTTTCCAAAAATGGAAATGTGTTACTCTTTAGATTTTGTTATCTATGTTCATTTGATTTTAAATTTAAATTATTTAGGATTTTGATAGGATTGAATTTTAGTTCAAGTTGGTTTGATTTTACCTTTGTAAACCCTATTTCTATAAATAGGATATCCACGATTTGTATTCGATCAGTTGGATGATTAATTGAAGATTGAGTCTTCTTTTTTTCTCTCATCCCTTATTTATCGGATCTCTCTCATGCTCGAATTTTATTGTCTGTTGCTTTCTGCAGCATGATGTCAGGTATCGGTTTGTGTTTATGTTTTTAATCATTTTGGTTTGGGATCTTTAATAGAGAAGCACTAAATATCTTATGAAAAAAGATGCTTAGCAAGTCTGTCTTAACAATTCCTGTTTTGTTGTTGTTGTTGTTGTTGTTGTTTTAAGCTGTGTTCATGCACGTCGGTTGGTTGGCTCGCTGTTTTAGAGCTTTCCAAGTTATAAGATTAGACTTTTAGATGTAACTGTACTTTGTCAGACATTTAGACGTTTCAACACTCCGCAGTTTAACATCATTGGACACCATCTCAGTCAGACCATTATGATATGTCTCATTTTTTAGGTAATTTCTCCAAAGAGTTGGACATTTAGTACAGTCATCTTATACACGACAATTGTGAATGCTAGTTGGCCATATATTGCTCAAATTATGAGACTGGAATTTTAACAACTTTGATTTGTTTTATATGATCTAGAAGTTGTATGACATAATTATAACCATAATTTACCAATCCATTTCTCGTGAAAGATGAGATTTTTCTGTTTTTCATTTAATGATTTTATTTAAACATTAATGTCTTATCTGACGTGTCTTTTGTTCGTTTTATTTTAAAGAATTATATCTTCCGCCATGCTCAATATAGTATATATATTGAAAAATAATCTACAATAGACGGCTGTCTGTTTAGTCTGCATATTTCATTACTGAATTCATTTTATGAGATTGGTATACCTCATGGTCTGTATCTCTAGAAGAATCATTCAGGTAAACGAAGTTGAATGGTTTCTTTTTTTCATTTTTTTTAATTCAACTGCTTAGCAGTGTTCAAGCAAATTTTATGGAGCAAAATCTAGTTAAGAGAAAGCATGGACTACATATAAGTTGTGTAACCATAAGAAACATCTGTTAGATTTTATTAAAAAAACGTTTAAATTTCCAGTTTCAGACTCAGAAACTTTGCCCTTGATATTTTATGTAGTTGGTAGTTTATATCTAACAATGGGAGCTGGTATTTTATTTCTATTTGAAAATTTTATCAAATGATCTGGATGTTCGAAATTCCTCTTTTTTGCAGTGCAAGTTGCAACTTGCTGTTTATGACTCGGCAGTCATACTTGCATCATGATGAATGGGTAAGCTGACGAATGCTTTGTTTTTTTTTTTCTACCATCTCAATTTATAACCCTTCTTTCTTATGAAATTGAATTAATTGGTTAGATTTTATGCAAATAAGTTATGAATCAGTAATCACTATCTACGAACATGAGGAAATCAGCACGTATGTAATTGCTTTAGTTGTACATGATTTTCATTATTGATGGGAAACATTAACTAGAATTGTAGTCGGAAGGATGTACTAATACTGACTGAAATCGTAACATGATTCTATGAAACATCTAAACAGTAGGTCAGTTATGTGCTTAGCATGCCATGCTGCCTTTTGTAGGCTAAGTTTTTTTAAGCTTGCTTATATTGTTCAATGTATTTGATGCACATACTGGTGTGCTGATTATTTGCAGTCTTAAGGAGCCTCCCTGTATGTGTATTTTTAATCACCCACTCTAAAGTTATCAGAACGGGATTTATTATGACAAAATGAGGTTCGAAATCTGATTTTACAATAATTTATAAGGCCCTTGTCAACCGGGCTACTTGGCACCTAAGCATGCATGTACTTGATTATTGTTGTCATTAAAAATTTACATGTAGTTTATCAGGCATTTGCATTAAAGATGGATTTTTTTTTTCATGATCAATCATTTAGCAGTTTGTATACCATGAGGCTTTTAGCTTCAGAGAAGGGTATCATTAATATCAAAAGCACTGTCTAATGCTGAGCCCAATTACAAAATGATTTGCTAATGGAAACAGTTTGGAAGCTACTGTTGGAAGCATTTGCAGATAAGGATTAGTAGAGAAGTTTGAAACGTGTTAAGAGCATTTCCCATCCATTTGTCTCGAATGGCATTAGGATGGAGGCCCCACTTTCTTTCCATTTCATCCACCACCTTAAAACCAATCGATGGAAGTAAACAGAAGGTAGCAACTAATAGTTTCAGGTTCTTTCTCGTCATTCCTCCTGCTATATGTTTGGGTTAAGAGAGAATAATCTATGTGATAAGGGGTTCTGTTGAACTTGTAATCAGTTGCATTTATTTTTATGTACTATTTTAGGTGGCATTATTTTAGTCTATATACTAACGTCTATACTTGACCTAAATAAAAGTTTAGCTTGGGCAGTTCCATCATATCCATCGAACCACTTTGTCTCTAATGAACCCATTGATTTTCTCCAAATGGATGGCCATAATGTCCCAAACAAGTGAATCATATAAATTTTGTAATGAGTTTAAATGTTTAAATTTGACTTGCTAATATAATTAGTTCGGGCCCAAACTCTATAAAAAAGTTTAAAAATGATTTTAAAATTAAGTCATGTTCAAGTTTTGTAATGACTCGATAAATAATGAAATTAATAAGCTTAAAACAAGTAGTGTTTGCCTTGGCTTGATTCAGTTATTATTAAAAAATGGAAGAGAGAGATTTAATTTTCTTATTCCAATGAGCAAGCTATACATTTGACAATAGAGGGCCAAGTATTGACTATCAAAGAGAATGAAAACGACTGATATTAAGTACAAATATTGTGAAGTGAATAAAAACTATTCTTCTTTCTTCCTATTGAATCAAATGAATGTAAAAATAGGAAAACATGCTCCATATACGCCAAGGGTTTGAGGCTTTCTTATATGGACAACTGGATGAGAAAAATTACAGGTCTGGGCCAAAAAGAAGTCATTATTAGCAGGGGAATTGAAGCCTTCATATTGAGGGTTTTCATATCAGAACCTTGAGAATCATCACCAGCATTTAATCACCTACATGATGAGGGTTTCTTTCACAAATTCCATAGGCCATAACCCTGAAGTCAGCGTCACTGCTGCTTTTACCACTTACTATCTTCTTCTGATTTAACTTGGTGACATTTCCCTAAACAAATGAGCAATATTCAAATGTGCATTTAGTATCAATTATATATCCCACTCAATCAACATCCATAAAATTTTCAATACTCCTATTAGCTTATTTGTTGAAGAATAGACCTTTTCCTCGTGACCTTTTAAGATACCTTCATGTAAATAACTTTTGATATTCCTCTGTGGGGTAATTCATATATCAACTAACTAAACTAACTGAGAAACAAATGCTTGGTCAAGTGTTGGAAATGTAGATGAGTTTTCCATTCAAGTGTTGGTTACTTTACTTGTTCATCTGTGGAAACTAAAATTTGGACCAAATTTTATTGATAGGGTTCTGATTAGGTGGTAGAAGGTTTGCATCTTGTCTTGCCAAATTTTTTAGAGTATATTTTTATTGAGAAAATTACTGTTGTTCCGATAACAGGAAAATATTTTAATGCTCTATATTCTTTAAATTCAAATTCTTTTGCCAGAAATTTTTTAGTCTTCTAATCTCTTCCTCATGGTTACTAGTTAAGATAATATCATCAACATTGATAATGAGAATCATGATTTTAACTTCTGATTCCTTGGCTAATACACTATGATCATCTTGTTCTTGAGAATACACATACCTTTTAATTATAGTAGTGAATTTATCAAACTACGCTCTTGGCGGTTGCTTTAGACCACCCCATATATAGATTTTTTTATTCTGCACTTTATTTTGATTGTTAATGGTCTAAAAAATAGGTGTAGTCATATTGACTTTATCTTCATTGTCTCTATTTTAGAAGGCATTTTTTATATCTAGCTGATAAATAGGACAATCCAAGTTTGCAACAAGAGAGTATATGTATCCCATACTAAATTAATCTTTGTAATTGGTGTAAATATTTCTTGATAACTAATTCTATAAATTCATTGGCCTTATTTTTTATATTGAAAATTCATTTGCATGCAACAGGTATAGCTTTCATGTGCCATCATTTTTCAATGTCTGTATTTCTTCAAGTACGACATCTCTCCATTCATGTATCTTTAATATATCATGAATGTTATTGGGGATGTCCGTACTATAAAGATTTGTTGCAAAGAAATGAAATTGAGGATGTAAGTTTTTATAAGAAATATTCTCGTTGATTGGGTATTAGTTATCATGGTTTTCCCTTTGGGCAATTGGGATGCTAAGATTAAAATCACCATAAACTTATGAAAGATATTCCAGCCTTTAGTTGTGCTAATTTATTGTTATAAAATCCTGAAATTCCTTGGTGACATTGTATACTCCTCGGTAGTCTAATGTATAGAGGTATGCAATTATAAGAGAGCGAGTCGTGGCGCGGTAAACGATCATATATCATCCTTCTATAATCTTCAAAGTTGAAGGTTCATTCACATCACCAAGTACAATGTTTACTTATCTAGGAAGCATATCTATCACTTCTGAATCAGTTTTTTCTTAACAAAGCCCTATACTCGGGGTTGGTTTCTCTCGTCCTCAGTCCTCGCTGTTCATTTGACATCTTCCTTTTATACCTTACCTCATCAGTAGAAGCTTTAATGCCGGACTGATAAAAAATCCTGACAATGCCACTACGCAGAGGATTATAGATATCATCCTCAAAAAGCCTACTCTTCTTTAAAATTTTGATGAATAGTTTTGAAAAGAAATGTTGTAAAGAAGAATCATTGTCTAATTCCCGGATCCTTAGCTCTTAGACCCATCATATATTGTCTCTTCACCTTCTGAAATACCTCTTGGCAAAGTGCCAAATGATACTTGCTCAAGTCTGAACATAAACTGTATATAAGCTAAAGATATTTTTTATCTCATTCTTCCATTGTAGTTGGTGAGAAGTCCTCGTCTTCTTCTCCTTCTAAACTTTGCAGCCTCACCAAAAATCTCTCTCATTTACCCTCACCCGTCCTTGAAAGTAGCTTCAAAGGTGACATCTCCTCTTCTTCCCTCAAAATTTTAACCTCCCAATCCTCCCTCATTGAACTCCTCCCGCTGATTTCCTTTACATTAGATTCGACCAAGGGAATCCCTATTAAATCTTGGTTAGATTTAGCAATTGGAATAGCTAGTAGAGTTTTGGATTGCTTCTCTATGAGCTTCCTTAGCATCTCCTCCACCCTTACTAATTGATATTCCATTGTTGAAAACCTTCCTTTCATAGTTGAGAACTTCTCCATGGCGGATTTGATTTACTCCATCGTACTTTTTAAAGCCTCCACCTTCTTTGTTATCATAGGTCCTAAAGAAGTGCTATGATGCCAATTTGATGCGCCTTTGAGGTAAAAAAAACAAAAAAACAAAAAACAGAAGGAAGAGAAGAGCATCGTAGGAACACAAAGGTAGGGCTGTTTTTTTGTTCTCTCTTCAATAAATAATGAAATATACAATTGATCTACTATTTGAGAGGTAGATTAGCTTTCCCACAAATTATAGACGTCGCTAAGAACTCGGAACAAACACTAGGAAAATAAACTCAACAATATCATAATACCCAACCTTAATCAAAACTCCCACTTAAATAGCCCTATAGCCACAATAACACAAATATAACCATTCTAAACAATTAAACATATTTTAGGAAACCTTCCTAAATAAACATATTTTAAGAAATCTTCCTAAAAAATTAAACATGATTAGGAAACCTTCCGAAACAATTAAACATATTTGAGAAATCTTTCTAAATAATTAAACACTTCATAAATAGCATAAATACAATTAGGAAACTTTCCTAAATAACTTCCACTTGATTATGAACCTTTCTAATTTCTCCTTAATTAGGAACTTTCATGAATATCTCCCTCTTGATTAAGAACCTTTCTAAACAAATTCCTCTTGATTCCTCCTCCTTATATAATGAATAATAGCTCCTGTTCTAATTTAATTCCTCTTGTTTTGTATCATATTTGAAGGGTTAAGGGATTTAAATTCAGCACATCAAATAGTTTAAGACTAAAATGACCCCATACAAATAATCTAGAAGCTACTTTGACATTTTTCTTGAGCATTACATGACTTTAGAAATATTTTGCATTAGGTTATTCAAACAAAAAAGTGATCAATATAAGTCTCAAAGCTCTTTTGGACCTACTTTAAGATGATTACAATTTATTGATTATCAATTAAAATCTAAATAACAATTATCTTAAGATTAATTTAAGAGATTTAAAACTCATCTTGATAAAAAATTTGGTCAGAGGAACCGTTATATTTACTTTAGGAAGGTTTGCATTGTGAAAATAGGGGAAATCTTGCCGTCTAAGTCTTGTAATTTCTCTTTAAAATAATTAAAGATCATATTCATCGTTCAAAAAATCTTGAATTTAACTGATAACATAAGCTTAATATACGTAAAGGTTTAATTAGAGTTAAATGTAATCTCTAATTATATTTAGTCTTCTACATCAATAAAAGCATCAAGCATTTGTCTCACTATATGTGGTCGAGATCATAATGAATCTTTTTTTTTTCTTCCTTGTACTATTATTCAAATGTAATACAAAATATTATTTTTAATTCTTTCTAACTAAATATTTTAACGTTTACAAATTATAGCTATTGTAATCTCCTAAATGTTCTACTTATTGAATGGCCAACTTATTAAAAGATCAAATAATCTAAGGCAACTCTCTAATATTATTATGTGTGGTCAATGAATTATTCAGAGGTAAAAAAGGATGTGTTATGTCATCAGATACGCAGTGGTATACAGTAATGATACAGAGCGGCTTGGTGATGTGACACGTTCTGATTGGCCTTATTGTGGAGTCCGATGACCGCTTGCAATAATTTTGCCCAATATAATGGATAAATCTCTATAGAGCAACACTTCTTGAAGGAATCTCAATTATTGATAGTATAAAAATATATATGGTTAAATATAAATGCTTTTTTTTTCAAGATAATATAGTTTAAAACCTATTTCATGAGTTCATAAAATTAGGCTTTTCTATACTTAATGAATACAATGCCAAAGCCGTTCAAGAAAAATAAAAGCATTATCACTAACGTCTGTTTAGCCATATGGTATCTCGAAAATTATATATATATATATATATATATATATATATATATATATAAATACAATTTTATTAAATTTTTATCTTTGAAAATTTTTAGATTAATTTTCTTTCATTCGATTTGAAGTAAAAAGAATAAATCTTTATTCTGTCAAAATAATAAAAATATAAATTAATTTTAACCGTGATGTGGATTTTTGTGACAGATAAATGAGAATTTTTACATTTAGCTATTTAAGAGTTAAGAATCCTAAATCGTCGATACGTGCAATATAGTAAAATACGAAAAATATATTGGTTGCGCATCATAGCTGTCCAGAAGGAAGAAGGAAGCTGCAGAAGAATCGGCGATCATGGACGATTGGGATGCCGGAGGCAGCGGTGACGGCGGCTTCCGCCTGGGAAAACGGCAGTCAGAGAAGGGCGAGGTTGATTACAAGTCGAAGGCCGGGACGGCGTGGAGCCACTCTTATCTCAACCAGAAGCCATGGCATCCCCTATCTTACCCTAACCAACGCCGGAAGTGGATCGCCGAGCAGACCCACGCCAACCATCAGCGTAGATCCGAGGAAATTTCTCGGGAGGTCTTCCCCTTTACTTTATGTTTTGATTTTTCTTTTTTGGCTTTAAATATTACCTAGGGTTTCTCTTTTTCTTTTGCAATTGACGATTCTTCGGTATTTCAGTTCTCCCAGGAGCAGGAGTTTTTTCGCCAGACCGCGCTCTTCTCTAAGAAAGAGAAGGAGAAGGTATCTGACTTTCTCAAAAATTCATAAAACCTGCTGGAACAATCTAAAGAAAAATAAAATGGGATATTTAAAGATTATTTTTCTTTATTTCTTTCGACTTTATGTACACCGCAAGAATGAAAAATAAAAATTAAGGGCTTTTTGATAGTTATGTCGGCGAGCATCAGTTTTATTGGCTTGGTTCTGTTTTTTATCAAAACTACAGTAGGTGGATCGGATCCCTATTTAGAGTTGCATTGTTGATGGCTAATAATGCTCCAATCAGTATAAGATATGGAAAATGCTCTGCCAAACTTGAAGCTCATCCTAACTACCTTTTAAATATAATAGATGCGAGTTTGTCTTGATAAAATACAAATAAAATTAAAATCATTCCATTTGGAAATATTTTCATATATAACATAGCAAGTAGTTCATTTTAGAGATTAATGTTGGAAAGTTAAATTTTCTGAGCAGTCTTAAGGATATTTTGGCCATTCAAGTTTAGATTGTGAGAAATAAAAGTATTCACTTGAAAATGTTTTTTTCAGGTTATCAGAAAGTTTCATAAGGCATATCTCTACTTAAGTGAGTCCATTGAAATGTGGGGGTAATTCATTTGAATGAATTGTTGCTCTGTGAGCTTCATATTTTTTTTATTTAATAGAGATTTTAAAATGCTGATACTAGCATGTTAAGCACCTCGAACCTTGCTGTTTTACATCTTGGGTAAACTAATATAGGAAATTTTTTAAATTTTTGACTACTTGAACCAGAACCAAGCTAATCTTTAACAAAGATTCCTTTCCTAGTGGCAAACATTTGGGATTTTTCTTTAAAAATCATGCAATTCCATGATTTCCCTGAATAAAACTTGGATGATGCTCCTATCTAATACATTTCACTATATTTAGTAGTTTCTGTGGGCCATGTGTTTGCTTGTTTTTTTCAATTTGAGCTTGATGGTACTCATTAGCTATTTTTTTTGCTATATTTTTTTATATCACATAGTCAGCAAGCATTTTGGGAAAAAATGAAAAACTTTTGAACTGTTGTTTCTTTTTTTCCCCTGAATATTGATGACATAGGAGTGGATTATCTACTTCTCACTGAAAGAAATTTTTTTTTTGGACTTGTTTAACTTCATTCTATTATGATATGCTCTATGTGCTTCGTGTGATATTCTTTTATTTGTATTATTTGATAATGTCCATTTGACTTGTTTTTTATCATATTAACCTCTTGTGTATCCTATTTTTTATATCAATTACATCTTCAGATGGAAATAATGAAAGCTGTGAGTTTCATGTATGTTCGTCCACCTGGATATAATGCTGAAAGTGCAAAAGCTGCTGAAGTTTTAGATGAGAAGAAAAGATCAGATGGAAATACTGCTGTTCAAGACCCTAATACTGGAACAAATAACTGTTCAATGTATTGTCATAGTTAACTCGCAAATTTCTAGCTGAATTTGTAGTAGCATTTAAATTCTTAGTTGGGATTTTTTTCTATATTTTTTTTACGTGGTGTGATTTGTTATTTTGCAGGAATGATTCAAAATCTGAACAGGAAAATCCTGTTGAGGACAAGAAGTCTAGACCAAGGGATGTTTTTGGCCGACCATTACCAACGGAGAATGAATTTGAAGTGTTGAAAAATGCTCCAAGGTAAAGATTTATTTTTGAAATGTTTTTTCATAGCGACAATTATCTTAAGTGGTGTTTAGTACAAGACTAGATTACTAGAATAGCTTATGCTGCTTCTGAATCCCTTTAATACCCAAAATAATTGATGGCTGTTCAAAAGAATTTTAAAATTTTGGACTATTATTTTAAATTTTCTACTAGGAAGTAATACTCTTTGAGTTGGGAAAACTATAGTGAATCTCATCACATGCTTCATTTTTTTCTCATGATTATCGTCTTAATTATCTTTATAAAACATCCTTAATTAAGGTTTTTTTTTGTTTGTGATTTGAATTTGATGTGATGGTTTGTTATTTCCTACAGATTTAGTAGGAAAAAACTCTTTTTTTCATCTGATTTGCACACGTGATGGCACAAGTTAAATAGCATGCACCAGGTTGCCCAATATCTTTTACTTGGGGCCTTTATCATGGTAAAAAGTAGTTCTCATGTCTGAGAACATTGGAAAGAAATTAAAAAATTAACAATTCTCGGTATGTATGAATATTAATCATGGCCGTACATCCTAACAATTGTTGAACCTTGTGATTATTTTTTGGCATCTCGTATGACACTACGAGGTTTGCCGGCATGAATTTGAGTTTTCACATGAGGTTAAGCTGGTCTATTCTCAAGGGACCCCTGATTCTTGTAAGTTTTACCTGTGATAATGACCTCACATGCTTAATCTTTAAGAGAGTTTAGAAGACTATTCTAGGTTTAGACATCCTTGGCTTAGCCCGAGGTGGCCTCGTCATGACCTATTCTAATTCCACAACCTAGCACATAGGCTTGATGTGTAGGTTCAACCCTTAATCACCCTAGTAGGATCACCCTTTATTGAGCTAAGTCTCATCCTAATCTCGTATTAAACTATGCTAAACTAACCCTAGACTGCAGGAACCCATTTTTGGCCTATTTAGCCTACCATCACATATATCTAGGCCATCTCAAATTTTGTGACTTGTATGGTCAATTACTATTTGACTGATTGACCTAATGTAAATTTTGGTTAATTTTAATCATAAGCTACTCCAAATGGACCAAATCTATCTTAATGCACATAGAGATTGTTTGCTAGCCTGGCAGACCCGTCTTTTGACTCCATTAAGACTGAAATTGCTTTTTATTATGGACTAACTTTGATTGTTTTAAACCAAGTTTTTGACTTAATTCAACCTTAGTAAGGGCCGATCCAAGCTCATAGAGTAGACCAAACTTTAGGGTTAGTGATGCAGAAATACTATTTTAGTGAAAGTATGGAACCTTGTACATTTATGAAAATTTCTTGAAAGTTGAGTATCATCATATAAGAGATTAAGTGCCATCTTCATCAAGGAGTAGATATGGAGAGAATTCACTCATCATCACCATCATGCATCTACGGAAAGAAGTAGTCATGATTAAAAATAGAAATAATTATATATTTATATTCATTATTATTGGTCATAAGAAGCAAATTTTGTTATTGATTATTTACTTCAAGAGATGGGGCAATAAAGGAAGATACCTATTAACATAAAGACAAGAATATGGAACCACTCTCCTTCTTTATGGGGTTCGAAGAAATCCATCAAAGGAGGAAACTTAAAGATCTGTCAATAACCATTTTCCTCTCTTCACTTAGATGCTTTGATACAATAAGGCCTCGTTTAGTTGAGTTGGTGCTTATCTAAAACAGATTTTTAGAAATAGATTTTTAGAAAAATGGAGTTTAGGAAAAAGCAAGAGGGGAATGGTGGTCGATTTTTCATCCAAAATGGTGTTATTGGGAACGTTGTTTGAGGGAAGTGTGTCTACCAAATAGTAAAGAAGAAATAAATTTACTGTTTTTAAATGGAGAACGCACGAAAAAAAAAAAAAAAGTCCAATCATTCGAGTTGGGTTGTCATTTTAAATGAAGGACCTAATCTCCAAATTTTTTTTTTCAAGTTATTTGTTTAGATAATCAATCATTCGATCAACATGGAAGTCAAGAGGGCATAGATTAATATGGTGGGCCGCAATTATATCTTGGGGTTATAAAATTTGCCATTACATTTAATTCATAAAAATATCTGCTGGTTTCGCTATTTTCTTTTTTTATAGCAATCTGCAAGTGCTTGTGTATCTGACCTTTTATAGCTTTTTGATATCTACTGGGAAAAATCCCTTGGTACTTGTTCATGACAGAAGTCAATTCGATTTATTTTGAACTAGAAACTTTTGGGCTTATTCTTGCTAGTAGATGTGTCAATATGCTCCACATGCTAATGAAATGGTATTGAATAAGTCTGACAGATTTGTAGATGCTGTCTTTTGGTACTTTTAAGCATGCTCATAGATGCACAATTATTTTGGATTGAGGTGTATTGAACCTTTATCTCCTTATTGAATAATAAAAAATAAATCTCTGATTTTTTTAAGGTGATTCGATCTCTTTTGACCTTTCTCTTTTTCTATACAGGTTAGAGACAGGTATGCCAGCAAGGGTGAAGCCATTTGGAATTGAGATTCGTAATGTTAGATGTGTGAGATGTGGGACATTTGGACACCAAAGTGGTGACCGTGAGTGCCCATTGAAAGATGCAATCATGCCAAATGAAGAAAGCAGGTTGAAGAGGGATGATCCCTTAACAACTATAATGGCACAGACAAGCTCTGCTGAGGTGAATCTCTTTTATTTATTGTCAAATTACTTATTTTAATCTTGATATAAACCCAAAAAGAGAAACTTCTTGTTGAATTGCGGGAGTGTAGGGCAGAAAATTCTTATGTTTAATTAGTGACATGGTAAAATTCAATCAAACAAATCAGATATAGATGATTTAATTAATAAACATAAATCTGCATTAATGATTAATATTAGCTAATTAAAAGATAATAAATTAAGTAGATTGATTTTGTATTTATTTTATTTGATGAAATAAAAGTTATTGTCTAATTAGTTTAATAAATTATTAATTATTGATTAACTGAACTTGTTATCTTATGCTAATTATAGTAATTAAAATTTAGATAGGAGAAAGTTAATATAAGAAATTGTCACAATCACATAACTTCTTAAATCCTAAAATAAATATTCAATTAGTTATTTGAATTTAATATCTCTCATCTCAAGTAATTTGTATGATCTGACCCGAATCAAAGTTACTAAATTTGAATCTGTTGTTTTTACTAAATCCTACTAAGAGGTAGTGATGCCAGCTGCGTCTTCTTATGTTTAACCTTAATATATGCGTTTGTTTCTAGCCTGTGAAGTGGGAACTGAAGCAGAAACCTGGAATGAGCCCACCTCGTGGTGGCTTTAAACATGATGATCCAAACCAGCAGATTGTTGCAGATGAAATATTTGATGAATATGGAGGTAAATATGGCAAAAAAATATATATATATCCATCAACAATATCACGATCTTTTTCTCCTTATTATTATTATATTTCTAATGTTTGTTTATATTTCTTCTCGTAGGATTCCTCAGTGGCGGTGACATTCCACTCACCTTACTCTCGAACTTTGCCACTGGCAAATCCAAGAAGCATTCCAAGAATAAAAGCAAACATAAGCACAAGTCTTCAGTCTCTCGTAGCGAATCTAACCTTCAATATGAAGACCAGCACTCATCCTCTGACTCGGATTATTATGTGAGGGAGAGTGAGAGATGGAAGAATAAGAGTGATGAAGTATCAGATTCTGAAATTGACGTGAAGAAGATTTCTAGGAACAAGGAGAAGAGGGTAAGGCCTAGAAAGAGAGAAAGAAGGCGACGGTCGAACAACAAGCATGACAAAAGTTCTTCAGACTCTGAGGTTGATAGGCAGAAGAAGAAATCATTAAAAAGCAAGCACAGGACAAGAAATGTTTTAAGAGACAAACATAACAGTTCGACCGACTCTGAAATTGGTGGAGTAAAGAGGAGATCAAACAGGGGGCAGAGGAAACTGAAGAGGCACCATTCAGTATCAAGTGATTCTGAAACATCTGATTATTCAGATTCTGGACATCGCCGCAGAAGAAGACAGCGGCACCATAAGCATAATTGTACATCTGATTAGCAAGTTTTTAGTACATGTATTGGTATCAATGAGATTGTGGTTAAGCAGGTTTTGTTGCGTTCGATGGCAGCTTTTTGTATTAGCAAAATTGTAGCCAACAAGTTCGTGTATATTATTATTCAAAGTGTAGTAGCACATCCGTTTTCTGAATAGATCTTTTTTACTTCGTTGTCTTTTATTTGTTTATAATATTTTTTGTGGATTTCTAACTGCTAACTTTTGTAGAAGTTTTAAATATTGTTCTCTGATTGTTGTATCTTGGAAAGAAAGAATGTCTCTGACATGCTTCAATATAGTTTTAATTTTTTTTTTCTACTATAATATTACAATTAATTGTAGGTGTTGCAGCCATTTCAACAATCACTGCACATAAAACAATAGCCTTTGTACTAAAAATCCATTATATCTGTAGTTCCTCTAATGAGTAGATTAGTTGTCACTGTAGAGGTAGGTGAAACCTTGTCATCCTAATGATTATAAATTAATTGTTTTGGCATCATTTACAAGCTTTTTCATAGCTTTAGAGTTATGATAATTTGTTTAGGGTTTAGGAATCAAGATTTTTGTTTTTTCTTGTCGTTGCCAGAACTAGTTATCTGTTTTACTAACTGAAAACTTCTATTGGACCCACTTTATATGTCATAAAAATTAATCTTTCATATATATTTTTTGAACATTTAGATCAATTAAGAAAAATTCATATACGAGATTCGAATCTAACACCTCTTAGTTGATGGCTTAAGCAGCAAAAAAACAGTATAGCTTTCTTAATGCTTTTTAGAGCAACTTCTAAGTACAAAAAATTTAGTTTTTTGTCATAAAGCAGCTTTAAGAAGTAAAAAAGTCGGCCTCAAATAAAGCCTAAGATAAGTTATGTGTGATCACGTTTATCACGTTACAAAAAAAAAAAAAAACAAATGAAAGATGATGTAGCGCATCATCATTCATTAATAAGAGAAAATCATTCATTGTTGCTGCATTGGTACTCTTCAAGCAATGGTTGCGTGTCAGCTTTTTTTTTGTTCAGTTGTTAGAATATCAATTTCATTCTTTGATGTAATTTTGGCTTTCGTTGATTTTTTGTTCTTTGTTCAGCTTTTACTTCTAAAAATGAATTATGTTACTTTCTTCAAATAGTAAGTCAACAAAGCTCGTGAACTGTAGACAAATAAGTGAGAGAAAAAACAGTATATATATTATTTAATTCACATTAAAAAATTATAAATTTTAATGAACATTATTTAGTATTCTTCTTAATATATAGTATTAGACTGAAGATTATTGGGCATATTTTTAAAACTAATCAAATTTTAGTCCATCCAAAATTGATTCAAATTGCCCAAATTAAAGTTTAATTTGATTTGTAAAATAGTTTGTTAGTTTGATTTTTAAAATTTTACAAACAAAATAAAAGTTTTTTTTTTGTTATATAGCAAATGAAAGTTTCCACTGTTTTTTCTTTAGAAAATAGTCAATAAAAAATAATATATATATTTTGGATGATAGTTTTTTTTTTTAATCTTTGACAAAAAATATTTTTTAGAAAACATGTTTAAAATTATGATTAAAAAAACTCTTTTAAAAGCATAAGTGGAGCCGTTTTAAAATGATATCCTCTCTTATTCCATAGATTTACAAATTTTGTAAGAAAGGGGAAAATATTCCCAACAAAGATAAAATTGATTTCTCCCAAAACAAAATAATAATAAAAATGAGAGAGAGTCTGTCTCACCGCTCAAATTTTGTTATATGGCTAATATTAAAGATACAAAGCCCCCGACGAATCTACCGTCTTCCTCCGCAGCACCTCATCGACATTCTGCGCAATGCAATACGCCACAGCCTGCACTGTCACCATCGGATTCACTCCGAGCGCCGTCGGAAAAATACTAGTATCTGCCACAAACAAACCCTCGACCTCCCAAGCCTCGCCGTCCGGCCTCACCGCTCCCACCTTCTCTGTCACACCCATCCTACAGCTCCCCATTTGATGCGCCGAAGACATCGGCGTCCTCACATCCCCAATTCTCCTCTTCCTCACCCCATTCACAACCCTCTCCACCCCTTCCCTTCCTTTTCCCTTGTCCCCTCCCACCCACTGCGTCCCCACCTCCTCCGCTCCCGCCGCCTCCAAAACCCTAACCGCCGCTTCCAACCCTTCCTTTAGCCCCTTCTCGTCGTCTTCAGTTAGCTGGTGCGTTAAATTTCCAGGGTAATCGACTGCGCCGCTGCCTTGATCTCTTACCAATGCGAATATGTGAGCGGTTCTTGCGAATCGACGCATTCGGAGACGGAAATCGGAGGCCGAGACCCATGGGACTAGAGCGGCGTATATTCCTGGGTGTAGGGCAGGTGTTTGGAGTATTACATTGTTGGAGCCATTTGGCCGTGACATTGAGGTGAGTATTCCGCCTTCGTAGCTTCTTTTGGTTTTCTCCGGCCAGCCGGAGCTTTCGGGGAAGTAGCCCCAGGCCATTACAGTAGGATGAAGATGTAGGTTTTTCCCAATGTGTCGGTTTCGCAACCCGCTTCGCTTCAGAAGACGGGGGGTATTTAGGGCGCCACATGCCACTATCGTCACCTACTCATATTTGACGAATAATCATTATTATTTTTCTTAAAAATATTAAATTTTTGTAAATATTTGTCTAATTAAAATATTAAGTAGCCAATACTTCATATTTCGAAATTACCTTCGACGTGATCGTGAATTGGGATCCGGCGGAAGATTCGACGACGACGCCGGCGGCGACCGGGCGCTTTTTCCCCGATACCTTTACAACTTTAACCGCCCGGCAACCGGGAAGAATGAACCCGTTTCCCGAACTCGCCATATCATCCAGCCACGTCACCAACGCGCTCTTCTTCTTCCTCTCCTTACACCCAAATTGACACCACCCGCAATAATGATCGGGCGGCGCATTACACGGCACGTCCGCCACGTCATACCCCGCAGCTTCACACCCCCGCCGGAGAACAGCGCTGTTAAAACCCTCCTCGTTTACCCGCGACTGTACGCCCAGGCGCCGACAAACCGCTTCCAGCGCGATATCGTAAGCCTTGCTTCCGAACAGCTCGAGCCGCCTCTCGTCGCACCATTCTCGCCGGACGCTTTGGGGAGTGGGAATAGAAGCCGACCAGTTGATGGTCGAGCCGCCGCCGACTGTGGCGCCGGCGACAACGAACATCGATACGTCGTCGGTGGCGGCAAAGCCACCTCCCTCATACATGGCGGAGCAGGTGGGGCCCTCGAGAAGGGAGAGTTCGGAAGGGGAGTAATAGTCGCCTTTTTCAATGACGAGGATCTTGTGGCCTGCGGCCGCGAGGACGCCGGCGGCAACGCTGCCACCGGAGCCAGAGCCGATGATGACGGCGTCGCAGTGGAGGGTGAGCATGGAGTTGATTGTGAAAGTGGGGGAAGTGAAACCAGCTTGATGGAGTTTGCCGGCGATGATCTCCGGTGGGCTGTTTAGGTGGAGAAGAGTCGACTTGAGGGGAGATTCGTGGTGGCTTATGGCGGGTTGACTTTTATCAACGAGTGATGGATCGGGTCCACAGTAGCCAATTGCTTGCCAGGACGGGTTCTCCTCCTTCTCGTTGACCTGTCAACCCTATCAAATCAAATATCAACTTTGGAAAAATAAAAATGTTAAAATAGCTTCTATTTTATATGTATAAGCCTTTTTCTTCTTCATCTTGCGTGACCAAAATTCTATAAGGTCTTAAAAATAGCTTCTTCACCCGCCATTGCTCAGCTTGGTGGCCGGGCGAGTATGGTTGGGAACTCTCAGCCCGTATTTGATTCCCGTCAAGCGGCAGCGCGTCTTAAGTGAGACAGTTAATTTCGGGCCAAAAAATTTTTGGGTGCGTGCTCTTCTATGTCAGCCGACGATTAGCCACGCCGTCGAGCGCTCTTTCGGGGGCGGGTAGATATACCCCGTTCCAAAAAAAAATAAACTTCTTTTTTTTTCCTTTAATGTCAATATAACTATGAATTCGACAATATATTCTATAATATTATTTGTCTAAAAAATTTGATATGCAGTGAAATATATATAATTTGGTAATTGAGCAAAAAAGAAAACCTGGGAGAAATAGAAGCGCATAGTGAGGCATTTGACACATGTATACATCATTCTCAAGTGACGAAAACTGCTGGAGGACCATGAAAAAACTATCTCCTCCCGCTTATCCTGTTCTAGCATCGCAAACCGCCTAACGAATGGGAATCTTGGCGAGAGGCTGTGTCGACCGCACAATACAAGCGTTCCAAACCACGTCGACAATAGAAGAAGAGCCCATCGTAATAATGCCATTTGCGGGTGTATCATACCACCTGATATAATTCCTCCAACCTATAAAAAGTGAAAATATATTGACAATATCCTAACTTAAATATAATTAAGATAAATTTATAATTATTAAATTTATTTTGAAAGGAATGTAAAATACATTTAATTGCTTGAAGTTTATATCATAATGATTTTAAAATAAATTTAATAAAATGTTGTTCTCTAGCTTTCACATACCTTATCTGAGTATAGATCACCCTATAGAATTAAAAAAAAAAATTATATAAATCTTTCTGTAATTTTAATTTATTTTAAAAATAAAAAAGGATAGTGATTTCAATATTTTTAAGATAAAGGCAATAATTTAATCAATTATATATCAGGGATAGACAATTTTGATAGTAATATTAATAGTTTAAGAAATCGAATCATATAATGTCAAAATTTTGATAGTTTTTTTTAAGACGTTGAAACAATAATTATAACTTTTTAAAAACTAAAAGGAATCTGGATATAAAAGGAAAGTAAAAGCCAATTTTGTTAAAAAAAATTAATATAAGGAAGAAAAAATCCGAATGAATTTATAACTAACTCGTTCAGTAATTCCGGCCATGGAGGCAGAAGTCCGGTAGAAGGTGGCGACGCCGTCTACATCTCCTGAGTCATGAGAATCACGAGGAGGAGGATCCATTGAAGGAAGTAAAGTGTCACAGATGGCGACGAGCGACTCCATCTGCCTCTTCGAAAGATAATTCTGATGCCTCGGTGGCTCCTCCCATAGGCTTTGTTTCTTGTTCGCAGCGGCCGGAGACGACGGCGGCGACGGCGTGGCAAGTGACACGTTACTACTGACCTTTGATGAGACCATGTCGTTAGCTGAAGCTGCTAATTAGGTGATTGGTTTGCAAGCTCAGAAGCTCGCAGGGGTATATGTTGAGCAAAGAAATTAATTAATTAACCAGAAAGATGGATAGGGTAGGTTTGTAATAAATTGAGTTTTTTTTTTGTGAAGAAAAAGTGGGTTATGTGTATTCATGAAAGTCGTACATACTACATAGCAGTATAGCACTGGTGCTTTTCAGCAATTTATGGTTTGCACGGTTTGAAGTACAGTGTTTTTTTTTTTTTCCTATAAATTGAATTCTTGCACGTTATATATATACATATATTATAATCAAAATCTCTATATTAATAATCAAAATCCACAATGAACTGGCCAAGATGAGCTGTACAGTGATTCCTAACAAATTATTACGTGTGCATATATATATTGTTAAATATGCTATGTTGTCGGTGGAGGGATTTCTAGATTTTTATTAAATTTGTGGTTCTAGTTTATAATTAAATTATATGGTGCGGACTTCGGATGCTACTTTATGTCCGGATGTTGTTGTATCAAGCGGTATTGAGTACCGAGTAGTACCGAGCCGCAGTACAGTAAAAGAGTAATGTGGTGCATTTTTATGTCTCTAGACATCGTTCGGTGTCCGCACATAATAATTAGAGCAGAAGAGAGGAAAGAGAGAATTTTAGGTTTCTTTTTACTTTTGAGCAAGTTAAGTCAAATTGAGACATATAATATATACATACATAATTTTTAAATTCAAAAACTCTTAATTGATAGTAAAAAATTTTAACCATAATATTAATAAGGTGAGATGCGGAATCTGAGCTTAATCATTTTTTTGGTAAATTAACTAAAAAATATAATACAACTTTTTCAGACAATGATCTGTGAGCAATAATAATACGAAAAAAGGAGAGAATGAGAGAGATTGTAAAGAAAATATTAGAGAGAGATTCTGAATCGTATTTTACATTTAAATGGTTTTAGATATAAGATGATAAGGGATGATTAAAATTGATGTGTATATTGTTACTATATAAATATTATATATTTAGCTTTGTGGTGAGGAGAAAAATATGTCGGAAAAAAGAACACTCTTGTTGCATCCAGGAGTATTCGCGGCGGTAGAAAAATATTAAGTTTAACGCCTTAGCGTTGTACGAAAATCCGGCACGCAATTAGATAAGAGAAAATGTGTAGCATTTATGAGACACCAAGATTTTTACGTGAAAAACCCTGAAAAAAAGGGGAAAAATCACGGGTCCTAGCTCAGTATAAATGAATCCACTAATATTGTAGTTGATAACAAATGAGGTCATTACTGACTACGGTCCTCGGGGGTAGGCCTTAGCTTGGTGTACATATTGTAGAGTACATTACATGGTAGAAATATAAAGCATCACTGTTGATATGTTTATTTGGTCGGAAGGACCGTAGTTAGTAGGTGACGTACAATATCAGAAGGATCATAGTCGACCGACGATGAAGGTCCGAAGGAATGTAGTCGGCGGGCGACGTAAGTCAGGAGGACCAAAGTCGGCTGGCGACGTAAGTCAGGAGGACCAAAGTCGGCTGGCGACGGAGGTCAGAAGGACTGTAGTCGGCAGGCAACATAAGTCAGGAGGATCGTAGTCAGCTGGCGATGTAAGTCAGGAGGACTGTGGTCTACTGGCGACGGAGGTCAGAAGGACTGTAGTCAGTGGGTGACGTAAGTCAGGAGGACCGTAGTCAGCTGGCGACGGAGGTCAGAAGGAATATTATCTGACGACAGAGGTCAGAAAGACGGCGTCAGGTAGAAATCCAGTAATGGACAGAAATTCAACATCAGATAGATGTCCCGTGAAAGTTCGACAATAGGCGGAAGGCTAGTGTCTGATAGAAGTTTGACGACGAGCGAAGGCCCGGAGTCAAGTAAAAGTCTGACATAAGTTGGAGGCCGGGGAGAATTCTGGCATTGGATGGTATTCAGGAAAAACTCCAGATCGAGTCACTTGGAAATCGAACAGAACTTTGGCGTCACTTGGAGATCAGGCAGAATTCCGGCGTCTCATGGAAGTCAGACATAATTCTTGCGTCACTTAGAGGTCAGGCAGAATTCTAGCGTCCTGTGGAAGTCGGACAGAATTCCGGCGTCACGGAGTTCGGGTGAAACTCTAGTGTCACTTGAATGTTGAGCAGAATTATAGTGTTCCTTGTACGCCGGGCAAAATTCAGGTGTTGCTTGAACTCCAGGCAGAACTCTGGCGTCGGGCAGAATACTGGCGGCGCGGTGGTCGAGGAGGAATTTCTTCCCTCATATCATTCTCTTCTTCTTCTAGCTTCTTGCTTGGGCCCCTCTCTCATGAGAAATGAGAGGTCTATTTATAGATTTTCATGAGTGGCATGTCCCGTAAATAGATGAGAGATCGGGGGCAAATAGGGAGTGGTTGAATGGACGGCTGATATTGAATCCCTTGATTGTGCGCCGTTTATAAGACATTTGAAAGTCTTAATGACTTTGGAATTCATCGATCTTGGGCTCGTTGGATTTGTCTTGTCGAGCTGCTCGATTCGACCATAAGCTTGTCAAGTTTGGAGACCATTTGGTAACTCAAATTGTGGTTTGAACCTTGCGAATGTGCTTCGGGTATTTGATTTGGACTCATTTGGGCTCGGATTGAGTTGAATTTGGTGTCGTTGGGTTCGTATTTCCGAGACGCTCAGTTTGACTATAAGTTTGTTGAAATCGGAGTTCAAGTGATTCCGGATTTAATTTTTGAAGTTTCCGGCTTGATTTTTGCCTCGAGATTCGTACTCGATCAAGATAATTTTTGCAAGATATATCAACTCTTAAGATTTATATGTTGATTTCTCCTAATTCATTTTTAAATGAAATTAAAATTAAATAATTTTAGGTTTATTAGATTCTTCTAGAAGTGTAAACGAGTCGAGTCTTTGCTCTTATTGAGCTTGGCTTGTCGGACAGGTAATAAATTCGAACTCGAGCTCGAGCTCGAGTTGAGCTCAAAAGACGAGCCCGAGCTCGACTCTTCGCACAATAAGCCAGCTTATCGAGCACCTCGACGAGACAGCGTCATGCTTCCCGCAGGCAAGCCTCAACCTCCTGATTTCCGAAGTTTGAATTCAGCTTTTAACATTAAATGTTAAATGCTACAGTACATTGAATACTTCATTATTTAATTTGAGCTCAAGCTCGATCAATTCATGAGCTCGATAAGCTCGGCTTGTGAGCCCATAAAAGAGTTAAGCTCGAGCCAGCTCGCGAGCTGGGTTCGGCTCACTTACACCCCTAGATTCCTCTCATCGAGGGACTCATTTTGATTATAAGCAGTGAGATTTAAAGATTGTTTTGTCACATTAATTAATGTGGCAAAGTTTCAAACTTTAATTTAAGTATTTTATTTGAGCTCATTTGCATATTAGAGCAAAATACTATTGGTGAAGTTTGACTCTTCTTATTGAAACTTGTGTTATTATTATAAATTCGTTAAAATCGGTGTTCAATTAATCATAAATTTAGTTTTGAATCCAATATTGCATTGAGTTTTGTGGATGATCCGATATATTTTCTTTTAGTAATTTTATCTCATTTTAAGTGAGAATTAGTTTTCATATTGTATTTTTTATTAATATAAAATTGTCACTTAAGCCTTTTTTTTAATATAATCGGTATAATGTGATTTAAAACATATCTGTCACAGTTTTTTAAATATTTTTTTTTAAATTTAAGCTATAATTACTATTTACTCACACTTAAATTAGTAAAAAAAAAACATTATTTAACAATACTATGTATGCGCACTAACAAAGTCGTAATTTTAAAATAAAATGCCATTTTTTAATAAATATGTTACGTGGAGGCTTAATCATTACAAATAATTATAAGTAAAATTAATATGCACTGAAATTTCCCGAATTCCCCAAAATTTCCCAAAAAAAAAAAAAATTTCCCGAATTCAATCGTTGGAGTGCTATCGATATGAATTGATGGATGTGGCGCATTATGATTGGCTGAGGTGGAAATTTGGCTGGCTAAATGAAGCATTAGATAGTTAATGCGGACTGAGAGCTACGTGCAACTCCTCAACTAACTTGAGTCGACAATTAACCCCATTTCCCATTATTAATAATGGTATGTGGCCCCACATTTCATAATTATGATAATTATGTTCAAGAGGATTTTTATTAATTAATTAGGATAAAATAAATGTTGATTTATTTCTTCTGGTTGGCTTCAACCAATTAAGGAATTGATTGGTTGGATTATTTTACGGTCTAAAGTATTAAAAATGAAGAAAGTTTATAAATTTGTATGTTTGTTTGAAATTCAAAATGATCTATATAGTAAATATAATATAAATTGAAGTAGTTCATTTTGAGTGCGAACTAAACTTCTCCAATTTTAAGTGAAATTTATTTAACAACTAGCTTGCTTGATCGCCACCAGTCGTCGGCCACTTTTAGCTACTGTCGGCTGCTTCCCACCCTCCTCCGCCTGCCAGCGCCACCACCACAGCCGGCCGCCGCTATTGGCCACCGCCGCCTCCAACCTTCCACAACCATCGTCGTCGGCCACAGTTGCCCCCAGCCAGATTCCCCTCCACCGTCGACGGCCACTGTAGCCCGTCGTCCGCCACCACCGTCAACCACCATCACATGCTGCCGTTGTCGACCGTCGCCATTTATCACTTTACTCAACATTCATTACTTTTAACAAAAAAAAAACATTCATCTGCATTTAATTTTTATTCATCTAAATAATTTCAAAGCGTTTCTTTCACACTGTATTCCAAAGCATCTCTTTTGGAGCTTGCCTGTTGGCTTTGGCTTTTTGTTATATCATAATTATTAGAGCTTTCTTTGTTTTTTTATGAAGGAATCTTCAAACCGTTATGTGGAAACCTTATCAAATACTGAAGAAGAAGGATAACAGAGAAACAGAATGTTAGCAGAACTTTGAATCTATAACTTTTGAAGCTAGCTGTAATTACACAAAAATCAACTCTACTGGAAGGCCAAAATCAGCTTAGCATTTCACAGAGATCTGAGCAGAAACGATTAAGTCTTACTGAATCATGGTCCATCCACAAAATGCCTCTGTCGGCTGATATTAAAATTCACAAAACACATTTATAAAGGCAACAGACAGAACAATCAGTCAATCAATAACTTTCATTTACCTGCCAGGAGAAAGAATTGGGGGACATTTCTTTTGATTCTTTGTCATAGGAATCTTTTAATTTTTCATGTTAATTTGTAGAAATTTGGTTTCATTAGTATTTTAGAGGCATGTATTAATTTTTATTTGAGATAGAACACAGCGTACAAGGCAAGGTTGAAGAGAAAAGAAAAAAAGAAGAAGTTTTTAGGCCATTTAGAAGAGTATAAAAGTGCACATAACAAGGCAAGATTGAAATATGAGGCTTTAATGAAATATCAAGAGCATAATATTCAACCTTTATGGTTGAGCAAGGATGAGAGAAATTAAAAAGAATACCGTATCATGTTAATTATAGTGTATTCGATTTCTTATCCACTAAGGGCTATCATTATGTGGGAATGTAAATCATCTGACTCAGATAATTAAGAAAATCATATAACACTAATTCATTTTCTTGCAAATAATAACGAATAAATAAAAAAAGTAAAATTGAAAATGCATGTGCTAAGTTAAAATTGATTGCACCAAATGTACATAAGGAGATTTGTAGTTCCATGGCTACTAAGACTATGGCTGCAATCATGAATAATATTTGTGATTCTTACTTTACTACTCTAGTTGATGAGTCCTGCGATGTGTCCACAAAAGAGCAATTTGTTGTTGCGGTGAGATTTGTAGAAAAA